AGTCCCCCATATACTGATATGGGAAGAAACCGTTGGAGGGRAGGAGCAGCGAGCTTCTTGACGGATGCGTCAAAACTTAGGAGGAAGGTTGGTGAAGGGGTTTATTGTCAGGAGATCTCGTATCATTTTCAGACTTCTTGCCTATTGCAGTGCCTTCCAGGCCGAGGTTGCAGCAATTAAGGTAGCTGTAGATTTACAGATCCGGAGTGCAGCCTCCTTCAGAAAAGTGACCATCCACTCAGATAGCAGAGCGGTGATACTAGCCTTGAACTCAGCAAACTCTAACCTTGCTATCAAGAGCAACRARTGTCTTTGTGATAAGACTGGAATGGGTGCTTGGTCGCAGTGSGATCGCAAGAAACTGTAAATCTGRTGAGCTMAGAAGAGAAGGCACCCTAAAAMCGCTATCRGCAGAATGGGAGCGGATCGGTGCTCWCGTATCCTTTTKTGTTCTACTATTASATGACTGGGCTTCGTGGAAGCTTGGTCAGCGCTGGGMTGGTGATCTCTTTGCCCTCTGGTGATCTCTTTGCCCTCAGTAAGGCAAGCATCTCTATAGTTTTGGGGCGGCACTGGAAATGTCATCTTTGATCAGCCATTTAACCTAACGTAAGAACTTGATCTTGATCGTTGACTTTATATTGGCAGTTATATAAGCTATAGTCGTCCGATCGGAATAATTTGTTCGGATATTATAAACTTGTTTTGGAAAACSATGAAAGCCAAAGTGAGAGACGATTGCTTCTCAAATAAAAAAGTTTTACATTTTACATCGAGGCAAACTTGTCCGGTGTTTAAATTTATATTAAAGGCATAATTAAAAATAATTTTCTAAAAAAAAAAAGACAACTAATTTAATATAACAAATTTGATCTGATAAGATAAAGCAAGAAATTCCAATTGGCGTTAAAAGTATGTACGTGAGCAACACAAGATACAACAACWGCAAGCAAATATGCACATGCCTCACTCACAAGTTGTTGTTGTATGGTATAACAACATTGACCGCAAAAGCGATTTAAATTGCAAAGTGAACACACAGAGACACGCTGCGGTTTGGCTTGTTGAAGAAAGCTGTTGACAGTCGCCAGTCAACCGTGGAGTCCAGTGCAACGTTGACATTGAACATAGAACCCAACGGCAGCTGCAGTTGGACAACAACAGCAACAACAACAATAAGAGACACAACAATGACAGTAGCAAAAGTCAGCTGCTGCTTAGCCGCTGACGCACATTCCAATGAAAACGTCAAACATAAAAGCAGCGAGAGACAGACAGAGAGGCAGAGCGTAAACAAGTAAAGAGCAAAATAAAGAATACTAAGCATATATAAAGAAAACTAAAATAGAAAAAAAAACAAAAAATGTTGGCTATGCCAGGAAAAAAATAAATAATTTTGCCGGCAGCAGCAAAACACACATGCACACACAGATTTTGAAGCTTTGCTGTGGGTAAATGCCGMGATATGCATGCAGATGTACATATGTAGCAAGATAAATAGAAATAAATATGTAGTCGCTTATGTGACTACGACTRCCAACAGATAAACGGATAAGACGGAGCAGCGTAGAAGTCTGGAGAAAACGAAAATGTACAAAACCGTATAACCAAAACGGATAAAAGCAAGAAGATTCACAACAGAATGTGAGTGAGCACACACACACGCGCGCATATACAAATTAATGGGTGTGTGTGCGTGAGCGTGGAATTGTAATTATGCTTAGCCACTGGCTTCACTGAGTCAGAGTGGCGATATTGCCCCTTTGCGGCGATTCAATCTGGACGCAAGCACACAAATACACACACACACGTATAAAAAAAAGGCACATTGTGGCGTTCACAGGTAGTTGAAATTTATGAGCATTCAGCAGTGGGGGGTTTGCCGTGAGCATCACGAGTGCCAAGGGCTTAAAGAAGCAGTAGGAATAAAATAAAATTTAAAAAACAAGAAAGAGCAGATATTTCAGAGAGCGTTTGGGAGCGTACAAGAGAACGCCAACCTTTCAAAGGTTGTCCAAATTCACCTGCTATTTCTTCCAAGCTAATTCGTGTACCTTATTTATTTTTTTATCGTTTTTTTTGTTTACAACTTCGTTCTTATTGTGTATTTGGTTTAAAGCAGAACATGAGAATTTACGCTGAAGAACATAAAGGTATTAGGTATTGTGCTGAAGCGTAGCCGAGGTGGAAGAAAGTAAGATGAGAACTACAAACAAATAAACATACACACCCATGTATGCACAAATATGTATATGTACATATAAATGCTGTGCACACAAAGCTACATACAGAATACATACATACATACATATATCACGCGATTCTGCTGTTTACCTGTCCTGAATTTGTACTTGATTTCTGCTTTAAAATTTTAATTGTTTTTTCTGTTTTTTCTCGTCAGCAATAATAACGAACTAATACATACATACATTTGGTGTAGATGAGTGTATGCACATGATGACGTCGGGAAATAACGAAGTGACAGACAATGGAGTAAAATTAATTTAAAGATCAGTGAATCATCTTTTTTATTGCTTTATTGCTGGAGTTCTGAGGTAAAAAAAAAAAACAGCAGAATCTCATTTTGAAAGCAAGCCGTAGTCGTATGACTATACGAATTAGCACCGAAAGTAATAATGGAATAATTACAAAGCTGAATTATGAAATTTAGACATATGTACATCTAAGATATAGATAATTTGTAAAAAAATATTAATGAAAGAAATTAAAAAATATTAAAAAA